GGGAGTTACCTTTCTAATTTTCAATTGATTACAGACTGCTCTTCGGTCAAGACATCTATGTTTAAATTATTTGACTATAAATGAAGAAAAGCCTTGTGCTTTCATTCAGAGATCCCAGTGGGATTATGAACAGTACTCAGGTTCTGGTTGAGGGCTATGCTATAGGTAGTGTGCGTTTGTTTAGCCAGGGCTAAATCCACAAAACTTTATATACTAGTCTTTCCCAGATACTCCTTCTGTTTCTCAGAACATCTAACTTCTTTTCCCTGGTTCTTTTTTCTCCTCTGATCTTCTACTGCATAATCAACAAGGTTTTCTTTGTTTGTCAGACTGGACAGACCTAATTTCAGCTACTCATCCTGTTCATGTAATAATTGGCCAAGTTAAAGAATCAAGTGTATATAGCACATGGAGTAAACATGGTCTTGAGTTTCTTTTTATCTCTGGCAATTGGTTATAAAACACTGTTTATGAATGATTCTAATAGTGGATGAGATTTCAGATAACTTGTAGTAAGGCTTTGGTTACAGTAAGCAGTTTTTTCCCTAGATAAGTTACAGTGAGACACAGTAGTTCTCCACACTTAGTCTGTGATGACTGGCATATGAAAGGAGAAGCTCAACTTGGTAAGCAGCAGCTCTGTAAAAAAGATGCTGACAGCACAGGGCCCACTTCTGCTCTTGCAGGCTCACAGCTTACTGCAGAATGGATGAGCGAGACTGAACTGTTGACCCCAAGCAACTGGCAAGTGTTTTTTCAGACCTGTGAGAATGCTGACCCTGGAAAATAGAAGTACTGCATACTAACTTTGGATTAATTATTTTCCTAGGATTCTGGAAAGGTAAAACTCCTAATGGCTGTGCTGAAGGACAGGCTTACCACTCTGACTAGTGAAGACAGACTTGATAACAAGCACTGAAGTAAGTAAGCAGGCCAAGCACACCCCAACAGGGTGTTAGAAGAGTCTTGTTAATTTTTGAGACAGATGTATTGGGGGTGGGTGTTCTGGGGATAGGTTAATTTACGTTGGGGTCAGGTAAAGACCCTTAATGAGGATAGATATGCAGAAAATAAAAACAGACCTAAAGTGGTTCACTTGGTTGCCACTGTGGCATGTACAATCTGCACAGATTTAAATTATCAACATGTTTAATGTCCCTGTATCCCTGCATTTGAAGAGATCACCAAATTGATTGTTTTTACAGTGAGTTGAATTCTAATTTGTTCTTTCACAATGAAATTTGTTTTAGGTCAATGTTGTTCCGAGTCACAGTGAGAAACGAGTTGCCCCAGTGAGAAATGAATATACATATGACAGACGCAGAAATATATAGCAAGTGCTTTTCAGAGAGACTGACCATGATGGTAGAATAAATTTTTAAAAAAATCAAGGTCTGTGCTTTGGTTACTTATCGATATAACAAGAAATTATACTTGGAAACTGGGAAAGTAATTTTAGCCTCTACAGAATAAGACTTTGTTTGGAAGCTACTTTGCATGCTTCTTTATGCATGTATGATTTATCATCTTTTATCCTGAAATTTAATCAACGTGGCTGGAAAGATTAAATGATCGATACAGGGCAACAATTACAAAAGGAGTTGTACTACAGCTGTCAAAATGAAAATGTGAGTGAGTAGTGAAAAGATTTCACTTCTCTCCCCAAAATGCATATTTACAACTTTCAAAAGTACATGAGTGCCTTGAAGCTTTGTTCCTGCTACTTTCTACTGGGTTTACAATTCTGGATATGTTACCAGTCTCTGTAACAGAAGCATGAGAAGCGATCTTGCTCCAGTGGCAGTAAAGGATGTACTTATTTCATGGTACAGGTAGCAGTTTCTGAAACATACAGAAATGATGTGAAGAGGAAGAGGAAACACTGGATGAATCCTTACCAATGTAACTAACAATAGTACTCTAAGATTCCAGAAATAGAGAATGTAGAAACTTCATCTTCTCTAAACTTCTGTAACGTGAAATAAATTGCTGGAGAGCATAGTGCTTTCCCATGTTTCATCAAAGACTCGATAATGAAAATGTATCAAATGGCTTAAAATGAGCACCTAGCACATATATGTGATGACTGTCAGAACTCTCTTTTATTCAAAGCTAAAGTAAATTATTATTTTTTGGATAGGCATGATGTTTGGTCATTTCTTTCAGCACCCATTGGTTTACCTTTTATACTGCTCCCACAAGAGCAGTATACATGCCACATAATACTAAAACTAATTTATAAAAAAAAAAAAAAGAACATAAAGAAATGGCATGGCTATTTTTATGGATGCAAAGTGCTTGTATATATTACCATGAATCGCCAGGGAAATCCTAAGTGAAATAATTAACATGTTGGAACTTAGAAAGGAATACTGGATACAGAAAAGCAAAAAAATAGGGCCATAAGAATGTGGCAAATAAAAATAATGCACAAAACCCAAATGTACCTTGCTAGATGCATATATGTTTTTTGGAATTCATATTAAAAATTTGCAAATAATTGATTTTCTCATTATCAGTCAAAATTCAGATTAATTTTATTCAATAGTTAATGTGTTTAATTTTCCTTTCACAAAGAAAAAAAAAGGGTTTTGAAAAAGAACTGTATTTATTAAGATTTCCAGAATGTATGTTTTGTTGCGCTTACAGTATTACCAAAATGAAAGACTTTATTCCACAGCAGGAAGAGATGCTTTCCCTTTTGCTTTGTAGTTTGGCAGTGATATCAGTTCTGAAGTGATAAATGCCTGATAAAATTCCTCTAAGTGAGAGGAATTGAAAGTGATGGAGACTTGGATTCTTATTTCAGGACCAGCACATACCTGCCTACAGGACTTCCTAAAGGAAAGATTGAGAAGTATTCAGGACACCTCTGTGGTCTGATAACCTGGGTTGCCTGCCCCATGGGGCCTGTTTTGTTTCAGGCTTGCTGCTCTGAATAGAGCGGACTACTTAGTTGTGTTTCCCACTTTCAAATGGAGGACTGTTGCGAAGGGGAAAAGGTTTGGAGGGAGGGGTATGAATGTAAGAAATATTTCATTCTCTTTGGATGAAGCTGTACCCTTTTTCTAAAGCACACATTGAAGTTGAATCTAGAAGTAAATTACCAGTTTCTAATAAATAATTTGTGACTTCAAGCAGCTAACAAACTGTTTCTTATCAATTTATATGACAATGGGGGAAAAAACCCCTTTCTACATCTGTTGATTTCAGTCCTAATTTCCTTAGTTTATGTACCTGAGGCAAAATGGTAAATTAGATCACGTTAATGTCTTTTATCACTTTTATTGTGATTGAAGCTATCAAGGTGTCACTTGGAGTTTTGCCTTGCTATGGTGGAAGAGTGGACTGCCACAGTGTAACTGGTGCTCTATCTTCATGGCATTGTGGTGGTGCCCAGCATGAAAGTAAAAAAAATATGTTCCCTCTGCTGTCAATCTAGATGAGTTTTGGTGGGTGCTAGGTCAGACCTGTGGATGTAATGGATGCCCTACAGAAACTGAAGTCCAATGAGTTTCAATTTTTCCCCTGGGGGGAGTTGCTGAAGCCTAAAAGCTCAGACAGCAATCACTGCAGAGAGCCTCCCAGTAGCTTAATTGCAAATTGCTGGGAAGTATCTTTGGGTTGCCTTCTTGAATAGAAGGTGATACTAAAGGTGGTGTTATTTTTAAGTATTTTTTAAACAACTATAAATGAATGATTTCTCCAGTCTGGCAACTTGAAAATTTAAAAAAAGACTTCTGGTTTGAAATAGAATAAACTTTTACACTTTGCTACATTTATAGAATACCATGCCTGGAGTTTTTCTTAAAATCATATTCAAATAAAAATTTTTCAAAAGGCATTTGGATGTTTTGAGGGGGGAAGTGACTGCCACAATCAAATATTTTTCAATATGTGCAACTGAGTAATTGTAATGAACATCCATGGGAAATAGTTTTTTTTCAGAAGATACATTTTTGGGAAAAAAAAACTAACACAGTATTTGCTGGCATCACTATATATAAAAAGCCAGATCTTGTGAGTTCATTATGCTCATATATAGATTTTGCTTTATGGTTCTATTTTTATTGAGTTGTGTCATATTAAGGAAAAGTATTCGGTTAATTAAGACTACCTTGTAAGGTAATTTTATTTCAGGTGTAGTCATATCTCAACTCCAAATCTGGACAAGAAGTAGACTTAAATCTATATTTCTGAGTTCTTTCCCTTTTTTCTCCATAGTCTGCTTTGGAAGTAAGGGACTATCTAGGCTTGATCTTTGAGATCAGTTTGTCTCACTATATACTGATAAAGAAAAAAGAGACTTGACAGAACAAATCTGAAGATGTCATGTATCAGAACAATGTTTCAACTAAATATTTCTCTGCCTGTTGGTTATGAAAGTTTTCATAGCAGTGTCATAAGATACCAAAAGTTAAACACACCTGAAGTTCAAAAGTCTGAGAATTACTGTTCTATTTAAAACAGTAGAAAATTGTGTTAAATGATGCTTCTGCTCTTATAATAGACTTAGTAAGAATGCTACACTGAATATATCTAAAAACTGACATTTGAATAAGCTCCGCTCTGTTTATGCCCTTTTTTCTATTTTTTTAATAGAAAAAACTAGTTTACATTACTGCTGCAGGTTTGGTTGTGTTTTAAGTGAAAATTCTAAATTTCAAATGAACAATAAGTTGCTCTTCTGTCTATTTTCAAAAATTGCAAACAATCCATTATAACACATGCCCCCTCCAAATTGGTCTTTCTCAACACAAAATAATTAGGGGCCTAGATTATTACTAAAAAAAAAATCCCCTTAAGTCAGGCATCCTTCTAGAGAAGGCTCTTGGCTGATGAATCTGACAGTGTAATGGTTAGCACAACACTTCGTTGATGCAGTTGCATCACAGTAGGCTTGATTATGTGTTACAGGTTCTCTTGCTCTTGGCTCTCTGTGCCAAGAGATTGCACAAGAAAATCTGCCAGTTCTGTCTGTTGCTTCAGTGCTCTTTAAAAGATTCAACTGGATACATCCTTGAGTGCCATTTCTGTAAGTAGCAAAATACTTGATGTCAGTAGATGGTGCTCCAGAGTACACAGCTGCAGTCCTTTGTAAAGCTGGTTTAACTTTTTCCATGCCCAGAAAATGGTGCCCTTTGTGCAGCACCCTCAAAAATGTCCACAGATTTGATATACTTACTTGAAAGTTTCTTTCTATAGAGATTTCTACTTTGTAGGGGTTTGCTAAATGTTTCTATTTTAATTGAACTGTAAGTCTATTTTTCTCGTTGTATTCCATGCCTGAAATGGAACCATATATTCGTAGGTGTGACCATAATGCTAAAGCCAAGGTGACTGAATCTGGCCAGGGGCTTTGTGTTAAATGTAATAAAATTTCTCTTTGTAAAAGCAGTACTTAGATGTCTTAAGTGCAGAGGGTTTATTTTCTTGTTTTCCTTGAGGTTTATGTATCAGTTGTGGTCAAAAGTAACTAATTTAACAATTTACTACACTTTGGAAACATATTTCCACAAAGATAGAAAAAAATATGACATAGAGAACCTATACAAGAATATTCCTAAGGAGTCTGTTAATGGACTAAAAATGAGGATTAGAGCTCAATGAACTAACTGGGAATTAAGAAGTATTAATATTTTATATATATTCCACAGTAAATTTAAAGAAATGTGCTTTCAACATTAAAACAAAGAAAATAATATTTTCCTGAAAAAAGCATTTTAAAAGATGAAAACTGAGTTAACTGGAGTGTTTTAAAGGCTATCTAGTGTTAACTAAGTCTTTCTTTATGTTCTTCCTGATAACACAATAATTTGCATTTGAGTCAGACTGTAGAATCAGGAGTGTACAGAGGGACTTAGCCATCTTATTCCCAAAAACTTCAGTGATGGTCTTTGCTATGTAGCATTGTTAAGGGACCGAGCATTTAACTAAACATATTGGCTGACATGATCTATGGTATGAATGAGATGAAAATTAAACTGAACAATGTTCATTTAACGGCCATAATTTCAGGCTCTAGTTGTATGCTTACATATGTCTGATTGTTATGTAGCAGCATACTAAAGGCTCTAATCTGTCCATAATTGCATGTGGAATACTGTAGATAGCTGTTTTCCTAGTACAGGTACTGTTCCCATAGTCTACTGAGGTTTTAAAGAATGGATATCCTAAAAGAATTTGTGTTTTGATTATTTTCCGATATGCAAACCCAAAATTCTAAAGGCAAGCCAAGAGTTTTACATTCTCAAATTTCTACCAGAGGGAGAGAAGAAGCAATTACTTTCTAAATTCTTTATTGCTCTTCATAATTAGTGTTCAGTATTTAGAACTCTTTGAGAGCATCACAAGATTTCTCAATTTTTTTCGTAATTTAGAAATTTTTCATGATAATTTAGAAAACATATGTAGATATGTGTTGCTTTTTGATGGAAAAAATAGTGCAAAACTTATAAGTAGTTTTGAAGAAAAATGAAAAAAAAAATGAAAAAAAGGAATTTGGCTTTAGTATTTTCCAAAATACTGCAATGGAGATTTTTACTAGTCGGTCACAATAAAATGTAAACAATGCAGAAAAGGGCTAGTGACATCACCCAAGGAAGTTTTCTCATGCTGTTAGTCCAGTTGATGGAGTGAAGCCATTGCAGGAGAGATGATTCCTGTTTGTTAATGTAGCAGATATTCTGGGTCATATATTAAGTTTGTGAAAATGACTAATACTTCACTGCTTCACTGAAGTGAAACTATTTCAGTGACAAAGATCCAGTCCTCTCTCCCTATATATATTACGTTGCTTACTAGTTATTAGAAAATTCTAGAGAGTGTTTTGGAAAATAGTAGTGGTGCTTCTCAGTCTAGATATATATTACTGTGTTGTAGGTATTCATTTAGAACAATAACACAAAACTAGGAATGCTTCATTGTGCAACATGAGAGTTAATGTATACAATTTTTTTCTGTTTAGAGAGAACATTTAAAAGTCTCTGTTTCTTAATATTTAGCACCCTGTAATTTAAAGTGGTTCCTTTTTCCTAACTTTTGTCAATGATAATTTTCATTAAAAGGCACAAAGCTTAGGGGTTTTTTTGTTTGAAATGATAACAGTTTACATCTTTCTGCCACAGTAGTGAGAGAAAGAAGGATCTGTCCTTCAGCCTGCTCATGGTATAGTTAAAAAAAAAGAAAAGTATAAACACTGAATTCCTGAGCTTGCTGTGAGATTGAAGGTCATTAACAGGGCACTTGAGCAGATTGGTATTACAGTCAATTGAGATCCTGAAACATCCTAAATGGCCTAATGCAGCAACTAAGTGCTTCTTAAATTCCAGAACTTTTACTTGAGCAGAGCATTCATGTCTAAAGTGAATTTCCATTTCCTTTAGTAAATGTTGTTTTTATATAGTCATAGTTGAAGAGGCAACATAGTGTAAACACAGCATTTGATTCTATCTCCACAGCAGCACTAAACTAATTTGTCAAGTTATAAACATGAAATCTGAGTCTCTGCTAAATATATATGTTCCACATTGAATTAAGAGAAATGACAGGAGTTTGTGCGTTAACATATACATATACTGTCAATATAGCCACATCAGTCTAATCAGCATGCAAATAGGAAAGGTTTTATACTTTGGGAAGTTTTATCAGTATCCAATCAATTTATCATCATAGAAAGGACAAATTAGATTTCACTTCTTTATGTAAATTTGTCAGGAAAGAGGAAAGGGAGGAAAATACATGGTATTTTATTTTGCTTATAGTTGCTCTAGTAAAAGATTTTCTTTAGATCTAGCAGTACTTTGTGTAAGTAAATATTAAGATTTTGTTTGTAGTTCTGTCCATGTCATTCAAAAGTTGTGAGAACTTTATTTGAGAGACAATACAGAAAACATGTCCCTATACGTCAATTCCTAGATGAAAGGTAATATCTTCATGATTCTTTGTAATAAATATGAGGGCCTCAAGTAGTTTTAATTGTGAAGACTACAGATGGAAGAAAAGGGTATCTAATCAAGGAAAAAAAAATCAACCAGATATTTTAGGAAGGTTTTATGAACAGATCAGACCAAATACAGCAGCTGCTGAGTGATAACAATAGCAAAGTCTGAAGGTTTCAGAATGCTAGCACTCTATTTGGCAATACTGTATATACTTGCATGCTCGCATAGGAGTTGTATTTCCATCAATTAAAAATACGTTCTTCTAAAAGTTTAAACAGTTTGTGAACCACTATGGAAAAAATATCCTAAAGTAGGCCTAAGGTGTCTGATATTTGCTGAGTTTTTCTGTATCTTTCGTTTCTATTATTAACTCATTCCTCTAGCCAAGGTTATCATCTTTGTTACAGAGGACAAAAGAGAATACATGGCTAAGCCCCAGCTGCCCCAGTTTACTATCCAGCATCTTAATTTAAACACCTTTTGAGACTGGGCTTGCACTAAAATGCCAGGCTGAGATTTGAAGTTGCTGAGAGCAGCATATGTTCCCTTTTGCTGACTGTGACGGACAGTTATCTCAGAGGAGGGGTAGCTGTCAAACATCTAGGAAAGAAGAGAGCAGGTTTATCTTAGGGTGAAATCTTTGCCTACTTGTGTGAGTCAGAGATCTCATTCAAAGTTTCATGAATTACCTCTTACATGTCTAACAGATTCCCATGTCGTATTTTGTGTGATAATGCAGACCTTAGCGAATGAGTGCAACTATGATCTGTTCCTTTCTTCCCAATGAATCTTTGACAATTTTTTCCTCATTTCAACAAGCAGATTCTAAATTAAGTGGGTTTCCCTTTTTTGTGCCTACCCTCCTAAAGTCTGTTGCTCTTATAGTCTTCACAAGGATGCCTAAAGAATTTGAAAGATTAAAGGCTCTCACGTTTTAAGGACCAAATCACAGATCCAGTGAGGCTCTCAGGTGTGTTAGGGCCACTCACTGGCATACCTAGAGGTAGCATTGTCAGTAAGACCCTGGTCAAACGTATTGCTCTTATCTGAGGCCATATGTTGCGCTCATTAAAGGCCAAGACTAGGGCAAAATCAGCTGCTGTTAATACTTTCCCTTTTTTCCTTTCTTTCCATTAGTGCTTCTTCACTTGGGAAAGGCAGAGGAAAGGAGCAAGGAGGGATATCTGTCACTACAGTAAAACAATGGAAAGAAAATAAACACGTTGAAACAGTGAGATTTTGGAAAGGGTTTCAAAGGAAGAATAAACAGAAGCCTAGATATACAGAAAACTCTGTCTTACAACTTTTGAATAATTCAAGCCCTTCCATATTCTGAAATGGAAAAATAAGTTCAATTGCATTGCTGAACATTTTAAAGATGAAATAATTGTTTTTAACAGAAGCGGTTTACTTTGATTTCTAAATTGTTCTGTTGCTGCATAGGTAATTTTGACTACTTAGTTGAATAATCTGAACGTGAGCACATTTTCAAATTAGTAAAACAAAAACCAAGTTTCAGTTAACTTTGTCTTTTCATTAATAGCTTGGTATTCTGAGGTATTGAGTTCTAAAAATTCTCTTCTAGCTTTTAGTTTTTCACCCTTATCGATATGTTTGTGTATGACAAATTAGGATCTCAGTTTCTCAGACTAACACACAGGCCATCATTTTACCTTTCAAAAGCAGTGTTTCTCTTTTCTGTGAAGTCAGAGACAGCATGTGCTTGTATGCACAGCAAATCCGATGTGCACTGGATTTATGGCACAAAGTTGGATCAGTCATGTCTGCAGTCAATCTGCATCAGAGGTACTTCAGATATACCATGTCTTCAAAGCAGAATAAAGTGGTCCCTTGTGCTGCTTTTTGAACACCTTAAAATTTGACCAGGGCAACTTGGACACGCAGCAGGAAGCGTAATGCTGTAATTACTAAAGAAATGTACAAAAAGCAGCAGTGTGATAAATGACATCTGAAAAACATACACTCAGACTCAGACTCAGGGTTTGGTTCATTGTTTTGTTTTGGGGTTAGAATTTTGTTGTTGTTGTTGTTGTTTGTTTGTTTTGGTCATTCAACCTCTTGTATGGGATTAATTTAATAGATAAAATTAGAATCCTACCTAAAGTGTTTGTGATAGTACCTGTGGTGGCCACTTGTAAAAGAAGACATGATTTAAAAAATTTGTTCACTAGCAGCTGAGGGAGAAAAGATAGATATCCAGAGCAGTCAATGTTCTATCCACAACAGGAAATACTCTTTATTATGCTTATTTTGTCTTCCTCTAACAGTGGGAGGAAGTCTGTCGAGGAATAGGAGTTGTTTTGCTATATAACTCTCACATCAGCAGCCAAATCTGAGGAAGATACCTTCATTTGCTGTTTACCAGAGTTTTGCAGATTGTATATCCTGGATCTAATCCTACATTAAAGTTGGTCTCAAATCATATAGACTTACTTGCTTATTATGGCACAAGATTCACTTCTCAGAGGATCTCATTTCAGCTATCATTAACATTCTGCTTATCTATTGATCTTTTGAACTTTCATGTCTCTGCATTTCTTCCTCTACTGTGGTTTTGTAACCTTCTATTAAAACTGTAATAACACAGTTTACTGCTCATAGTTTGCCAACTTCAGTAATAGATGATATGCCTTAAAGAAGCATTATGTTCACCCAGTAGTTTCTCGTGTCTTTTACTTGACATCTTTTACCTTACATATTTTTTAAAGCAGTAGATATACTAGATGACTTTACTTAAAACTCTGTTTGGATAAGCACTTCAGGAGTTTAAAAAATACTTAATAAATAAATAATATAAATGCTTAATAAGATCTTGAATATATCTGCATGTCAGTGGAAGTGTTCCCATACTCCCTAAAATACAGTTCCTGAACTACTAATAAGCTCTCATACTACAAGAAAATAGATAGAAAAAAAAAGCTGGTGGTAAAACAAGTGAATAAACATTCAAGATGGATTATAGGAAAACATTTTAAAAGATTATTAAATGTCTTAACTATAGCTTCTTATAGTTATTCTTAAGACAAGTAATTTCTGGATTCCTAGTCTTACACCAGGGGTGGGGGTGGTGAAGGCAGACTTTAGTTCATTTGACAACAACAGTGTTTTCAAACTCTACCAGTAAAATAAAAAAATCATCACAAATTACATTAAATCCTATTCCTTGGATATCCTTTTACAAAATATGGTTGAAAAAATACAAAATAAAATATTCAATACAAAGATGAGCCTGGTTTTTGCCAGGTATGAGCAATTGAAAATGTTGATTTCAAAGGTGCATGTGTTATACATATTAGCAATTTTAAAAAATAAAAGTGAAGAAAATCCCCAGTATTCTTTAAGAGTAATGTATTTTCTTCAAACCTAACTAGTTCATTTTCATTAACTTGCTCATTATGCCTGTATGCAGCACAGATGACTCAAAAGGGTGCTTAATCTGTTCTGACTAACTTTTAATTACAGTATTTTTCTATAAAGAGTGATGAAAAACAGTCGTGGAGGGGTAGGAGGGTCTATTCCCTTCTGAGAGAACCTAGAGACAGTATTCTCAGGAAGGAAATGGTTGTCAAATTTTTTAGGGGGACTCTGGTTATTCTTTGAAGAAAACTTTGGTTTTGTTTCCTAGTGGGAAATAGACAAAACATTTGAGGGGGATCCTGTGACAACATCATTACTACAAAGTAAACAGACTTTTCTCTGCTGAATGATAAACTTATGTTGAAAGTAATCATAGCCAGTTCCAGCAAGACAAGTAATGACATCAATTCCTGTCTCATCTCATCTCGAAACAGTGAAATTAGAACATTGTCTGTTAATTTCGTCATGGTGAACATAATATCTATTAGGTTGAGGTCACAAAAAAAATTACACGTTCATTTTTCACCTCTAGCTAACTTTCTAATCAGGTAATCCTTAAAGTGAAGCAGAATAAACATGTGGCTGCCAGCTCGCTGGACAAGGTTAACCAAGCTGGCCAGCAAGAAGGTTTTGAACAATGCTCTCAGGCATGTGTTATGGTTCTTGGGGCTGTCCTGTGCAAGGCCAGGAGTTGGGCTTTGATAATCCTTGTGGGTCCCTTCCAACTCAGGATATTCTATGATTCTAATCTATGATTCAATGAGTAGTAAGCAGCTCCTGTACAGCACACAGTACAGAATGTAGTGATTACACTTCCAGTTTTATAATAGATCAAAACATAGCTATAACATTACTTCTCTCATGATATTAGATAACACAACTACTTTAAAAAAACCCACTGCACAGCTTAGTGGTTTCATGGAACCAAAAGACTTGTGAAAACATCAGTAAGACAAAACACATGAGCAATTGTTTAAAATTAAACACCAATTTAAATTTTGTAAAAGCCAAATATGTGATATCTTCTTTGGAATCAGATCAGAATTTAGTTTTATTGGTACAGGAATGAGTTTATTTAAAATTAACTATTCCTGATTCATTTTTATATTAGAAAATTTTGTACTGATATGAATGAAATACTACTAATATTCCTATTTAATAAAATCTAGGATGAAAAATCTCTCTTTGGGTTTGTACAGTAAACCTCAGTCATTCATTGCCTGATACAGTTACTAAAATCAAATGTTTACAAGTTTCAAAACTTCTAAAAACAACAGAAAAGTAACCTAGTAGATTTTTTCAGGGGTGAGGAATTCAGTGCCATTGAGGTTAGCTCTTTAAATCATAAAACAAAACAAAACAAAACAAACCTGAGATAGTAATGTATTTCTTTGTGGATGAAAATGTTATTCATAAAAAGTTATGAGACATCCAATTCATACAAAAATTATGTGACTTTGAGATAAGACCAAACAATTTAAAACAAATCAATTGGAATAAATAGCTCTTACAGAATCTCAGGATGGTATAGGTTGGAAGGAACCACTGGAGGTCATCTAGTCCAATCCAGCTCAAGCAGGGTTGCCTAAAGCTGGTTGCCCAGGACCATGTTCCCCTGTCTTTTGGAGATATCAAAGGAGGAAGAGTTCACAACTTCCCTGGGCAACCTCAGTCATCCTCATAGTAAAACAGTGTTCCCCAACCTTCAGAGGGACGTTCCTGTGCTTCAGTTTGTGCTCATTGCCTCTTATCCTGTCACGGGACACATTGAAAAGAGCATGGCACTGTCTGTGTTGCAATTTTCAGTAAGGTATTTATATACATTGATAAGATCCCCTAAAAGAAATTAGATAAATTAAATGGGAAAAATAATATAGTAATTAAAATGATAAATACACACCAATTTCTCGCTGTATTGAAGATAAATTTATGAACTGATTTAATGTTTTATTTTGGTTTTGAAAACTTCCTAGCATATTGTTCTGTTGCTTCCAACACTTTTAAATATCCTTCTCCTATATTTATAAAATGTGGATTATAGGAACAAATCTAGTGTCAACAAAGCAGGTTTTGTGCTGTATTTCCCAACAGTGCATCAAGAATAGACACTATGCAACTGATGAAGTAGAATGCTCATCATAAAACCAGTTGGTCTGTAATCCTTCCTACCTTGGCATCTCTGAAACTAGACTGAAGTCGTTAGACTCAGGCTTTTGGTCACTGACAAATATATAGCTTTCCTGAAATCAAGTGTCACCTCCGGATTCATTTAGCTCTTTTGCTGGACCTTTAAAAAGTGATTTAAATGGCTGGTTGAAGACTAAAAAAGAGTAGAACTGGTAAAAAACCTGAACATTTTAAAACATTTAAATGGGTCATACACTAAGCAAACTGTTCCTAAATTTAGCAAATTTTCCTTTCTCCCAAGCCCACGTAGATTCTGTCAGGAATATCCATGAATAGAGTTTAAGTAGTTCATTATTTTTAATTTAATTTCAGTACTTGCAAGGGTGTCATGTACATATATCATCAGACTGCTGCAAATTTACAGGCTGCATGGAATATGGAATTCTCTGGCATCTCTGAGAAATTAAGACGTTTTTGTGTTCTTTCAAACTTAGTCTGCCTTGGACACTGGAAAATCATCATTTTAGTGGTCCATGTGGAAGGCTTATCTAAAAGTCAAACCCCTTACTTTGTCTATTTTGACTATTTAAAGCCTGTCTTAAATATCTAAGGGGTAACTTTGTACTCTCAAGAAGATCTAAACTGCTAAATGTTGGACTTCTGCTGAAGAAACCATCTTGATTAGACTTTTTTGCTCCCCTCCACCCATATCTTTTATATCACACTCCAA